ATTCAGACGCCTTCTTTTTCATTACTTATAGAGAGAAACGATTGAGAGCCATATTAATGATATATCGATATTAGTTAATAAAAGATCTGGTTAGATATTTTCATGTCTTGATTTGAGTCTCATCTAATTAAATGTACCATTTTGTCACAGATTGAATCAAACTATCTTGAAACACATTTATAAGTAGTTTCTCGTTACTGGCATGTGCAACCATTTTATGATAGTACATAGTGATATACGTGATAGGACACTTGGTACTATTATACTTTTTAAACTCTGGTACTTTAAATTTTGATGGCATCACTACATTTGATACTAGGCAAAGTCTCACTGCATCTATGGATCCATAAAAATCTATTTCCTCTACAGCTCTTAATCTTTCTTTAAGCCTGTTCATAGCCTGATCAGTTTTAGAATTTTTTAAGGGTATAGCTGTCTGTGGCTTTTCCTTCTCCTTTACCTCATCTATAGTTAGGAGTTGAATGGGTTTAACTACTTTTTCAACAAAGACAGGATTATCATAGCTTTAAACATTATCATGACTTAGAGTATAGGTCATTCTTAGGTAATTATACTTTAGAAGAGCTACCTGTTGAGGCTAAAAGAATGGTGTATTTTGATTTAATGGTGGGCTGAAGCCTGGAGGATATGCCGAATTAGTAGCTTCTTGTGAATTATCTTCTTCCACTGATTTCCCTCTATTTATCTTTTTCAGGACTTCTAGAATTTGGCTCAGCTTTTCTTCTAATGCTTTTTGAGCTTTCTCTATCTTTTTAAAGTGACTTGTATTGTCCTATTTCATCTTTTTAGCTCAAGCCCGAGTATTGTTTTGATAAGTAGCTATTCTTGTACCTTAGTACCACAATTAAAGATTCAATGATAATGTTATGATAATGAATGCATGAGTGAATGTGATGCAAATGACAAAAAATAGAAAGTGAAAAATAAAATATTTACCCTTTGAAAAAGATCCAACAAAAAAAAAACTTTCATTTATTTCATAAAAGTCAGTTTTATATCAAACCTAAAACTGTTCCTCTATATAAACATCTAACTTGCTCATACTAGTCCTTAGCTTTCTCAATAAAATTTAACAAATTTTGTCCATGCTCCCCTAATGGTGTGATTAAAGCTTTCAGAGTCTCAACCTTTTCTGCCATCTCGCCTACTTGGATCATGGCCTTACCTATATAAGTAGTGAGGTGTTCTATGTATCTCTGTCTTTCTAGCCCTTCTCTTTTGTCACACCACACCTGATGAGATAATTCTCTATGCCTTTCTATAAGGAACCTGACATAATTTTTTTGTTCACTCAACTTTGATATCAGAGTCAGAATGTGGTCTGAAAGCCATTTGTTCTCCTACTCAACCTCTATGAAAGCATTTTCTATGTGGTCGTGCTTTTTTTTCAACTCTTCATTATCACGAGCCAACTTAGTATTGTTTATTTCTTTGGCTTGTACCCGTATGCGTAGCCTTTTATGTTTTTATTGTAACTCTTTTAGCTCTTTTAGAGCATCGTCCCTTTCTCTAACAATTTTTTAGGTCTTGCTATATTCTTTGGAAATTTTATGGGCTTGGACCTCTAGTTTCTCTACTTTGTTTTGCCATTGGTCCTTTTCTTCCTGCAGCTTCAAAACCCCCTGTCTCAGTTTCTTTTTCTCCATCTCATACTCTAATTTCAAAAGTTTTTTATCAGACTCTTGACCCATTGGTAAGTGATGATCCTGAAGCCCAAGTGCAATCTCTTGACCTTTTTTATTTCTTCAAACCAAATACCCCTGAGTAACTCGATCAGTGAATGGCCCTGGCCTTACTTTTTTAGGCGTCTTTCAGGTTTTAATCATGTTATCAATCTTTTGAAAGGTTTTAGGTTCTTCATATGAGTAGTTGAACTGACCAAGCTTGTGGGTCATAGGAACAAACTGTTCAGCTCCATGCTACCTTTTTACTATTAATAGGACATAACTTGTTAACCCCCATAGGTCTAGAATTGGGATCCTTATCTCATATCTACATTGGTATAGCATAGGTTTTCTGCCCATCCATACTTTACCTGACTAGCTGTGAGTCCTTGTAGCAAATATTTCTACTCTTTTTAAGTTCTTACCTTTAGCCAAGTACTCTGACAAAATTTTCTAATCGAACTCCGAGTGTAGAGATAAAGTTTGGTAAAGGCACTTTTCTTGCATTCAAAATAGCTCTTTATCCATACATATAATAAGGCTATGCAACCCATGAAACGTGCTTTATCCATCTACCTATAAAAACTCAGGGATCTGATAGTTTATATTAAAATAACTGGTGAAGGGTTACAACCTCTCTCAATCTGCTCAAATAGATCCATCACTTTTATCTCAATGTGTCCTAAGACCTTGAAGAAAATGACCAACCCATATATGGCTAGAGCAAATGCATTCATTCCCTGATCATCATCTGGATGCTTGATAATGAAATCCCAGAAGACCCCCAACGGAATACCTTTGTGATCACCTTTCTCGCGAATGTATGAATTATAGTCTCCTTTCCCACCCCTAGCATCTGACTCAATTTTTTGTGACTCCCTGATTTATGTTTCTTCATGTATATTCTGTTTGGATACAATAGATGCATACCCATCAGAGTTGAGTACTCCTTGATTGTTGATACTAGATCGACCTCATTAAAAATGAAACACCGGTAGGTGAGATCTTAAAATTGTACCATCATCTTAATAAGTGAGTAGTCAATTTCCATTGACAAGAGATATGCTATATGTCCAAACTTCTCACAAAAAGCTTCATGCCTTGAAATGGTCATACCATTCCATGCGTCTGATAGGTTTTTCAAGTTATTGTGCTTGAAGAGTAGGTGGACTTTTCCTGATAGTGTAGGGACATAACCAAGTGGAAAACAATCTCTTTCTTTCAACTGCCTCTTTTTTTATTCAATCTTCACCTCTATAGGAGAATCACATTTGAACAGCATAGATGAAGTGTAAACCTGACGTTTTATGGAATCTATGAGGACTTTTGTTGAAATAGTTTTGGGGTAAGAATACTATGTAATCATGAACATGTTCATGAATGTGTGCAAAAAGAAATAAAAAAAGACAAAAAAATTAGTTTGTCATTTCAATATAGGGAAAACATAATAGTTAAGATAACAACATGACCTAGAATTTTGGATCATCTATAAATGGTGAAAAATAAGGCTCTATCTACGGCTGGGCTTTTAAAGTCAACTATGTGTGGTTTGGGCCATTTCTAAAAGGTTTCCAAATTATTCCCTACATCACGGTCCATTACAAACTAGTAAGGTACCCCAATCCTCACCCATCATAGGCTTCAAGCGGAAATGGTTCAATCTGAGTGGGAGTATTTCGCAGGCTCATGCAGAAACATGAAATCTTACGAAGGCATAGTACTTCACTCCTTTCTAAAGGTATAGCTCGGGTGGATGGCTTATATTATACATATGCAAATGAATGGTAGGTGTAATAAGCAGATATTTTAGCAAATATAAGTAATGAATAATAGGGCAAACAAATAAACAATAATCAAGCATATATAAGCAATGAAAAGAGGCAATTTCAAATTTATTAGACAAGGCCTAGATAATAAGAAATCTTTTACTGGCTTGACTCTCTAATAATGTCCCTAGTGGAGTTGTCAAGCTATCATAACGTATAGATCCGTGGACCTATCACTAGACTTGGAATGAAAGGAATCACCACCAATCTTTTTTGGTTAGGTGTAATTGGCCACTTGATTGAAACTAATATGCAAAATAGAGGTTAAGTTTGAAAGTCGATTGCGTATGAAAAATGTTGTAGCACTCCCACAACGCTCATCTGAGGGATGGTACCAGTTTGATTTCGAATTATCCAAGCCTTGCTCATTTTATAATTTACCAAATAATGAATTATTGATTTTTTTGGTTTTATTTTTATTTTTTTAAAGTCTCCTTCTTCTTAAGAAATGACAGAACAAATTTTTTTTGTTTTTTTGTTTTTAAATAAACCAAAAAATAAAAATATGGGTGAAAATAAAATAAAATAAAATAAAATAAAATAGAAATCAAAAAATAAAAAGAAAATGAAAAAGGAAAAACCTGCGATCGGATCGGGTCAGCACGTGGGTCTTTCGATCGACGCACGGATCCTAGCTTACCAAAATGGTGTCATTCTAAAGCGGTATAAAAGGAGCCTTTTTTGCATTTTTTCTTAAAAATTTTAGAGTCTCTCTTTCTACCCCAAAATCCTCTAACATCTCTCTAGAAAATTCATTGAAAAGTTCAATCGAAAACTGAAAATCCCATCGATTTTTAAAAATTTCACTGAAAAATTCAATCGAAAACTGAAAAACCTATTGATTTCTAGAACACTTGCCGGATTCTAAAAATCTCATCGGAATCTTGCTGGAAACTTCAATCTTTGCCGAAAAATTCATCATTCGTCGAAAAATTAATCATAATCCCAAAAACATTCAAAAAAAAAATCTAGAAAAATTCAAAAAAATTCCTAAGTCGTTTTAAACCCTTCCTGAACCTCTTTCAACTTTAGAATCACCTTAGAACCTTGAATGACACCCGGAATCTCAAATTAACTCCAAAATCCCAAGATTAAATTCCTGAACCCTTTTTGCCTGAGAATTTCCCAAACCTACTTTCAGTGATTTTCACTCTATTTTGCTTCGTGTTTTGTGTGTTCTTGCTCTACAAAATATGTCCAATTTATAGGCAATCTAGAATCAATTCGGGAAATGGACAAAATCAATCACAGGCTTGATTCTTGGGATTACATTCTGTCCAGATGAGATTTTAAGTATAAAATTTTAGCAGTATTATTCTGATTGTGTTGACCCAAAAATATTACGATCCTTATTTTCATTCACGTGCAGATTGAGCAGAAAAAGAAACAAAAAAAATAAAAATAAAAAAAATAATAAATCTAATTGGACCAGAATGAACTATAATGAACTTAGTTAAGCTTGATCAAAATGAGCTCAGTTAGACCTGAACCAAAATAAATTCAATTGAGTCTGGATCAAAATGAATCTAATTAGACTCGTACAAAATTGTCTACAGTGAGCTCTGTATTTGCCTCTCAATGATGCTAATAATGCAGTAAAGATCTGTCTAGATATGTGGATAGAGTCTATCAGCTCATCAAATGTTCGTTTTTGGCTGTATTTACCATATAGTCTCTGCAATCTATGGTTGGATTTGAGCGTACTGTCCTGCTTCTGTGACTCTCCTTTGGCCATAAATCAGGATCCAGGGTCATAAACATTTTTGCTGCCACTAGCCTAGATGTCAGGTTTCCGTGGTTAGAACGAGTTTGGAATGGGCGTTGTCACCTAAAACACGTTTAGAGTGACCGCTAACGAATTGTTGAATAAATTTATTGTTGACGGTGACCGCTAGACTTAGGCCAAAACAGGAATGCGTCCAAACAATCTATGGAACATGCAAATTGCCAGCTAAATTGCGGACAAAACTGAAAAATCTCCCTAAAGACGTAGATTCACCAATGATCAATAGTATTTTTCTTCTCATTTACACTTTCACTTTAATTAAAATGAAACACTCTTCTACAAAAAGCTGAAAATGCATGCTCTGCCAGTTATATTTACAGAATCCCTTGAGCTCATCGCTTTGTCAAAAAATTAGGCATGCACTCCAAAATCCATATGCAATTTTAAGTATATATTTTTTTTCTTCCGCTGCATGAGCCAAGAAATGCTCCTACTAGCAGGCCATACTATCCACCATGAACATCGTCGATACCCAGCACACAATCTCAACCCCTAAAAAATGCCGGGGCCAACACGGGTATGAAGGATGCTTATCAGTTTTTGCACCAGTACTCAATCTGTCAGACGATTACAGCTGCAACTTCACGATCGCTGGGCCATTTTTTGGACATGAGAATGAGGAGTCAAAAACTGGAAGTTGCATTTAGGCAGCTTTGTGCCCTTATGAATTAGCAAAAGTTCCTCAGCTTGGACCTTGGCCATACATGCTGATGACAAGGCAGATTTTGCTGAAAATCTTGATGGGCAGGTTCTAGAGGTGGATATGAGCTTGTTTGCTAAATCTACTTGGACTGAGAAGAGGGAATAAACTGGTCTGTGATCCGAGAACCTAGACTCTCCCCTTGAATACCATACCTGCTTAAGTCCTTCGCCTTTCCACAGAATCCTATCGCACCTGCAATCATTTCCAGGAAATTTTACTTTGGTTTTTCAGTCTTCACATGGATAATTCTTCAATAAAATAATAAGTCGACTTGGAATTTTGGAATGCATTTGACTTAGCAAGAAGAAAACATTAATAATGATTAAACCAAGTGAAGACAGCAGGTCAATGCTTAAGGTTTCAGCAGTCTTAGCAAGAACATTAATTAAACATGGTCCGTTATTTAAGGTTACTATTTTATTCAAAAGAAGACGATAAATCCTACTTGCCGACCACTTTTTAATTAATCTGAACAGTTGAGTTGAAAGTTCAATTAAAACCTTAGCTCATGAATTAACAACGCAAATGATAGCCATTACATGAACTTTGACTCTGACTGACCAATCAGATTCATTAAGAAAATGCAATACGCAGTTATGCATGAAAAGAACCATATTGTAAAGTGAAACCTCTGTTTAAAAAAACTGTTCAGGGTAAATGTGATGAACCATGTTCAGTAGGTCGGCAAAGGTTCATTAAAAATGAAGCAAGCAAATCAGAAAAAATAATAATAATAATGAGAACTGCCACAACTAGGAACAGAACCGCAGTAATCAATACAATACAAATATATAATCTAACAATATAAAAATCAACATAAGGGCACCACTTGCTTCCGGCAAGCAACCTTAATGAACGTACAACTTGGGATTAATTTAATCCCACTTCATGTATTTAATTACTAAAAATTAAGAAAAATAGAGGTGAAAGGAACATAAATTTGAAATCTTACCAGGCAGGATTACGCCGTTTTTCTTTAGATTTAGATGTTTGGACCACATAGTCATCAGAATCGGATAGATATTTGTAAGTTGGAGCAAAGTATATCCTGCCTTCTTCCCACCCTTTAAACACCCGGCCAGCCCTTTGTTCTATCCTTAGCTGCCAAGCAGGGAGGGTAATATCACATGTTATATCTTAAAATAAACAGTAAAGAAATTCAAGGTCAACTTTCTATTTTCTTTGCTTCACGACACTGACGCGAAACAAAGCCAGGGGCCAAAGCAACCAGATTAGCCTCTATGGAATGGGGAGCCTTATCTGAAAACAGAATAAAGCTTGTCTAGATTAGCCTCTCACCTGATCCTTCTCTAGAAGTGCTTGCCAGTCATTCTTCTTCAGTAATTCATGTGTATGAGCAGAACTCGCAGCAAGCCGATAGTTCAAATCCCCTAACCAAATAATCTTACTGAACAAATAAAAACAAGGAAAAACATTAGAGGGTGTAATAAAAAAAAGTGCGAAAATTTATAAGATATTCAGGTTATTTTCATTTTCCTTTATTGATAACAAAACAAAAACCATGACTATTAAAAATTATACCATGCCTATTTTGGATGAATTAGTGGAGTAAGGAGCTTACTCATGGTCTAAAATGCTCTGCGGAGGAAGTGGCTGTCTGAGATCTCTAAATGAATGAGAAAACCTTGTTCTCTTTAATATTTCTGCAACATCAGAATTTCTTCTGATCTCATCCCTTTCTTTCTCCCCGGAAGTCAAGTGGGTACAAACAAAACAAAATGTTGTTTGGTGCAATGTCATACTAATGGATATTGAACCCTGTCAGCAAAAGAGAAACTAAAATTAATACAATTACAATTTAACTGCTATAAATTCTTGATATTTTTCTTGTCGTTTCCAGCAAGTCAACAACAGTGTCGAAAAATTGCAACTGCTGACCTTGTTTCCAAGATATCCCATGATGCCACGGCCAACGCATGAGACTTTGAGGTTGCTAATATGCTCGTAAAGATCAGCTCGAACCCACACACACAAGAAAAGCCCTACCATTTGCTTGCTTGCAGCTAGGCAGAAGCGTCGCCTCACAGGACTGCCCGACATGCAAATGGGACTAGGAGAGCCTTCTTCGCTTGAATTTGAATTCAAGTTCATCAATCCTTCAAAATCCTCTTTGCCAACTTCATCTTCCCTTGAGGGTAAGTCAGAAAAGCTGATCCTAGGCTTCAGGCTTGCTTGCTGCTCAAGCTGAGGTGAGGATGGACTCGTTGCTTCAGTGGCGTTGCTGTAACATTGAGCAAGTTCTTCGTCACTTCGGTTGGTATTCAGAGCTTGACGAATAAGGGAAAGCCATTTGTCAGCCGGTCCATTGTCCTCAGCTCCAAGCACGTTGCCAGCATTTAGAGGAACGATTTCCTGCAACCTAACAGGTAGAAAAATCCAGGTTAGCAAATCACCTAAATTACCACAATATCCTTAACTCTTCAAAAACTTATTTTATTCATTTATCACTATTTTCTCAAGCAAGTAAACAAGAGGATGAAGGTGGGGGCACAAAGGCAAATGAAAATAAGCAAAGAGGATGGAACAAAGGACTCCTAGTGGGCAAAGTTCAAGCTGGTTATGAGCTATGGCGCATGTTAAGATGGCGTCAACTGCGGTCCAGTCACTCCACAGTCATGTTGAATGGTAGATACCTCTAAGTTAAAAGAAAACTTCGTCTATGCGACTGCTTGCACTTCCCATAAAAGTAAAATACGAAACAAAACTATAGCGAGAAACAAGATCATTTGTATCGTTGTTCTTGATGAAAATTTTCAACAATTGAAAAGAACAGAAAAATGCATAATTGATATCATATCTTAATTCGACTTCTAAAGGACGGTGTAAAAAAGCAATTTGGTTTAGACTTATCTACTAATCTTCTAAAGAGAAAAAAGCAGGAATTTACCCAAGAACGTAGATGTCAGCAGGAGCCGGTGACATTAACCAATGTCTTAAGTTCAAACCCTCGTGGGGTGACTTCCCTCCGACATTCCATGTCGCTACAAACATCCTGGAAACTCCAAAAACAAACCCAACATTACTGCATAATCCATATCACAACAAAACCAAAAACTTTAATAAAACAACAAATAAAACACAATTATTGACCATAATTAAGCATCTTTAACTCAAATAACTCTAATATTTAACTACATAGTATTAAAACAAGTACTAAAATTGTCGTCATATGTCATTTCCTAAAAGTTTGCGGTGAACCCGTAATGATTTCAACTACTCAAATATTGCACATGCACTTTTCGTGATCACATAAACCTAAATCAGAAGTCCAAATCTTCAAAGTTTTTATAACCTCACCTGAGGTTGAGCGAATCGGTGACAGGTGGTGATGCCGCCGGCATAATTTTCGGCGGTTTAATTCCTCCGGCAGCTTCCATCATCCAGCCTTCTATCGAAACCAAAAACTCACAGTTAAATAAAAAAAAAAAAAGTAAATCTTAATATTACAGGCTACAGGGATTGTCAAATCTGGCCCCTGCACGTTTGCCGAAAAACTCGTAATCATAAAAATTAACTAACCAAACCGGGACCCAACCGAAATCACAACCGAGTTCTTTCTTTGACGTCCAATCAAAATGAATCATAGCCGTCAAACTGACAGCTTCGGGAATTTCAAAAAACTCTTTTTCCAGTTCTCATATTTTCACGAAATGGACGGGGGAGAGTTAATATCAGTGCAGAACATTACAATAGTGCCGGCTTTAGCATAGGAAAATATATTACCTGAGAGATCTTCCGGTACGATCACATAATAATCATCGTCAGAACAACTCCTTCTTCTTTCATCAGTCTCACCTGAAAAGAAACAGGGAATTTTCCTTTGAATCCAAAAACGAAATCTCCGTAAAAAAATTTTAAATGAGGTGAGATTTATCCGGGATGAGATTTTTTTTTACCGTTTATTGTGTAATCGGATTGAAACTCGTCTGTTCCACTCGGTATATTCAACCATTTTCTCACGATCACTTTAGGCCACGAAGACTGTAACAGCCCAAAAAAAGAAAAAGATTTAGATTTTCAGCAACAATTAATATAAACCCGACGAACCAAAAATCGTTGAGAAGAAAAGGCGCATACCTTGGAGATGTTTCTCATATTTGTTCTCATTGCTGAAACCGCCTGAGCAAGGGAAATTTAAAAACCAAGATCAAAAACAAGTTGGCGGATTTTATAATGGATTATTGATTAATTCGTTTTAAATGGCGAAGATATTTCAGGGAAAATCATATATCATCGTGAATTAAATAGAGAGTCTTCAAGAAAAAACAAAAACGGGTGGCAAATCAGGGTACCCAGAAGAGTCGAAGGGAAAAGGCTTTGGTTATCTATATTTTGAGTGAAGACTTGATAGTTTAATGAGGTTAAGGTAAATGAAGAAATTCAACGAGAATATAAAAGAGCTAGTTGCAGGGGAAACAGAGACAGCTTCCAAGGAAGAAACGTAGACGGAAAAGAAAAGAGTTAAAAAGAAAGAGAAAGGAACTCTCAATATAATAAGGCAGGTTCATCCTTTTTGGTGAATATTTGTTTCAAAAAAGAATTGGATTTTAAGTCTTTAACGCTTTACAGAGAGGAAGACCGAAGACAGGGTGGAAAATGAAAAATGGGTAAAATTTCCCAATCATTGAAAAGAATTATAAGTTTTTGTATATCAGATTTTTAAGGATTGGATCGAAGTCTCTGATAATGCCCTGGAAAAAGTTTGGCCTTCTATTTGGTACGTCTGTACTTGGAAAAAAAAAACTAGTATCTTGGAACTTTTGTATATATATTGACATTTGACGGTGCATGATTTAGAAAGAGATCAAAAGAGAAGACGAAAAAGGGGAGAAAAGATTGAAAGGATTGAAAGCTGAAACTCAATCATGGACACAAGTGGAAAGTGAGAGCTGTTAGAGAAATAGGAAATCTTAGTTTGTTGATTTTTGGGACATGAAGATAGGGAAGTGAAAGGAACTTAACAAGAATCCGAAGATAAGGTCATAGACTCTGGTTTTGGAAGATAGGAATTTGAAAGGGAACTAATTGACACAGGCAAAAGGAGTTCCCACAAAGCGGCCAGCCAATGAAACAGAAGGATCTTTTAATACAAATATGTGGTTTTTTGAGGCAGGAGTGGCCAATGCCATTGCTAATAATTTGATAAAGAGATAAAATCAAATCAATGAGCACGAAACACGACAAAGACCACGGAGAAATAAGAGCTCCCAACTGAAGTAATAATTCCACAAAAAACAAAACAAAGAACCAAAAAAAAAAAAAAATCAAACCCAGAATAAAAGTTGAAAAAAATTGAGGAACACTCACAATTTACAAGCTAGAAGAAGTCAAAAGGAAATGGAGATGATGAGGTTTCAGAATAGTAAAAAGGGAATTGAAAGGCTCCTGCGTTTGAGAATGAAATGAAAAGAAAACTCCTCTTTTTCAATCTTCCCTTTTTCATTGATATTTCCTTTACCGACTGTGCAGTATTTTGTTTTGCCTTCTCGATTGATTTGTTTACGGGAGAAAAACGAAAAAAATGTATATGCAGAGCATTATTCTTGCGGGCGTTCCTGGTAAATGCAAAAAGCAGTTGCCTCTCAAATCCAATTTATAGTGCTTGAGAGAGAAAGAGAGAAAAGCAGGTTTCAGTCAGAAACACGCCAAACTTTGAAGTCCTGATTTGGGGCAATCAAGTCATTATAAGAAAAACAAGTACCAGAAGAGTTAGTCTCGGTAGCGAAGCAAAGGGAGGAGTTTTTTTTTTTTGACCATTTCAAGTCTTGCGTAAAATATTTTGAGTTTGTAATGAATGGTATCAAATAAAAATTAATTTGATAATATTCAGGATTATACATAAATTTAAAAAAATTAAAAATGATTCAAATCATTATGTTCCATTCGAGTTTTATTGTATTAGATTCGGACCATAAAATGTGTAATTAATTTGATTTTCAATTTATAATGTAAAAAATCGAATCTAATAGACATTTTAAAAAAATTATTTTATTGATGTAGTATTACCATGGGCACTGTAAAGGTAATTAAATACTTTAAACTTGTGATTGAATGGGATTAGGGCTTCTGAGATAAATTTTGCTGCCATTATAATTCAATTGGGTCACCCCTTTGATTTGTCTAGAGTTGCTGCATTGTAATTAATTATGCTTGACTTTTTTACGAAATTTTTTTTTCTTTCTTTAGTTTTGAGTAAATTTTCTCTGATTGGGGCCAAATAAACATGAAATTTTGTCGAAAATAAACTTATTGATGTGAGGGTTCCAAAAAATTTACACAATTTGGATAATGGTTTTTTACTTTATAGCAGGCCATATGTGATTGAATTACTATATTTGTTTTTTTCTTTTCACAGATAATTACCCAAAAAGCAAATTTAAGTTTTTTTTTTTTTATGAAAATTAGATTTAGATTCAATTCAAGTAATTAATATAATTATTTTCTAAAAAATAATATTTTAATAAATATAAAATTATAATTTTAATGCCTATAATTTTTATTTGTTTTAAATAAATTTGTTGATGGTGTATTGGGTACCAGTAGGCTAAACAGTGACCTAAAAGCCCTGTGAGGGACGACTTGTACCTCTAGCAACAAAGTATAGTTAGGGCACCAGAATTGGTTTTTCATTGGACGCGGTCCAACGTTTAAATCAATCATATGTTTAGGGTTTACGAAGATAAAAAAAAAAAAAGTAAATTACAAAGAGTATTTAGAATATCGTATTTGTATTTTTTTATTTTATATATACGAAAATAAATGATAACATGATCAAAATTGTTAAATATATTTAACGATCTTGAATAAGTTGAAAATCAATTCATTTGTTGTGTGATAATATCCTAATGAGATATTAATGATGCTAATTGGATGAGCCTATCTATGGACAAGGAATGGAGGCGAGCTCATACTATGGCGAAACGTTTGGATGTTGGATGTTGATCTTTTTTAACGATGACGTAACAAATTTGACGAGTATGAAAGTTGATTTAATTAACTGAATAAGTATGATATAATTTTTTTTACAAAAGAAAATAAATAATTGAATGAGATTATGTGGCGGTGGTTGGTTGAGTCGTTGGGAAAGAAAAATTAGTTCAATGAAAACTGCAAAGCAAATCAATAGCTTCACATTGTTCATATTACTATACACTACTAAAAGCGAAACGGTGGCCACTGCCGAATCTAAAATTCATGCTTTCAACTTGGCAATTTTATTTTATACTTTTATAAGTTGGCCACTGTCAATCGATCATCACCTTCCCTCTCCACACCCCCCCCCCCCCAAAAAAAAAAAAAGAATGATTTCAAATATTGGTCATAGTATCGTGGAATGTACCAAATACATGCATGTGTATTCACAAAATAGAGAATCTTATTTTTATTTTCTTATTACTTTTTTTTTAAGATTTTAAAAAAATCCTTTCATAATCTGTTTAAAACAACATCAAACCAAGGATTTGATAATTATATTATATACTTTATTGTTCAATAAATACATCCTATATCCTATAAAACTCATTACAATATACAAAATAAAAATACAGTAAGATGCATGCTTTTGAAAATAATAATAATAATAATATTATTATTATTATTATTATTATTTTCAAAAGCATGTTTTTAATAAATTATGAAATTGAATTTAGAATTACCTACTTTTATTTTTAATTAAATTTTATTTGAAATCTAATAAAATTGGAGATAAAAATTATTTTTTATGCTTAAACCAATTGGTTAATAAATTTTATTTGAAATCCAAGTTTGGCTTTCATGCGATTCAAGAGTTTCAAGAATGATTGTCTCGCTGATGGAGCGAATGCTACTGTCCAAGTGGGTTCAGTGGACGTGGCGGAAGCTTTGGCTGTTCGATTGGCTTTTGTATTGATCCAAGGCTCGGGAGGAATTTGACAACATGGACCTCATTATACGATTTAGGAGCCAGAACTATCTAAGAAGTGAGAGACCCTTGCGATTGAGAAAAGATACTCACGGTATAACTAATTATATGCACGTTAGCTTTAATTTATTATTTTTTTTAATTTACAAGTAGACTATTGACGAAGTTGCTGATTGGATTGCACGTATGACTAGAATTGGATGTTATCCCATTGATCATACATATGTATTCCCCACCAACAAATCCAGTGCCTGTTCTATCTCTGTAATTGTCTTTTGCTTGGTGACTTTTTTAAATGAACAAAAAAAATCTTATCCTAATATGTTTCTACTTTATTATGTCGAGGTGTGCTGGCCTAACATAACTTTAGGGTACGTTTGGCTTTAAATGATGGGTGAGAGATCAGGTGAAAAAAAAAAATGATCAAGCGAAGAATGTAGTATAGTGTAGAGTATTTCCCTATATCGTATCGTCCATCTAAATATAATTTTTATTTTAAATTAATTAATGAAAAAGATTTACATATAAATATTACTGTCATGTCCTTTTATTATATGATGATAATGAATTCAATCATAATATTTTAAATTTATTTTATATATTATCTATAATGAGAAAAGAATACCAATTAATAACATTTTAAATTAAAAAATATGGTTAAATTTATTGTAAAATTTTAATATTTGTTGGATAATAAATTCCAACTTATTATGATGAAATTACAAATAGGTTTGCATGCATGTTTTCAAACTTCAAAGCCTTCGTTTGGTGAAAGATTTCAATTAATGAGGTTGTGATCCGTTCTCGTCACATTTAATTTTCTATTAACTTCCAAACTTTAATTGAAACTAGATAATTTCCAATAATATCTCAAAGATTAAAAAAAAAACTCCAATTGATGTTGCTATTTTATATACACTTTTTTTTTGTGAAATTTATTTATATTTAATATTATGATTATTATAATTTTATATACAATTTGATAAATCATAATTTAAGATAAAAATTAACTATTAAAAAAATTAAAATTTAATTTTTAAAGGATAACTTTAATTTATTATGTAGATTTCCATACATTATTGTTTTATAAGATTCATACCATTAAGAAAGTATATATAATCCAATGCGTTACGTTTAAGATATAGTTAAAGAGCTTCCAAGTAGGCGCCAGGCGTAATGTCCACGAAACGCAAATTTCCTTTTGTATTTATAGGCGATTTGATTTGGTTTGGCGAATAGCACTGTAGCAGCTTCCCCTTTTGACACCAATCTTTGATTGCGTTTTAATTTTAGAGGGGGGGGGGGTCGGTCTAATCTGCCTTAGCTGCCAACGATTTGCCATTTTGATTTGATTGTTTATACTTGTCAAATCAAATGTCAGAGCCCCTCTTAATTCAGGCAACAAGCGTTAAAAAGCAAGGAATCCGAAAAGTCATGACTTGGGCAAGCGCCAAGAGCGACCTTTTCCTGTTTAAGATATTTTCTAAGTATTTTTGTATATTCTCCGTCTCATTTTCAATGGGAAATTTTGGGGTTGAAAACTATAAAAAAAATGTATATTTACATTCATGCATGGAGTTGAGATGGCTTGCAGGGCCACTTCCACAGAAATCAAAACTGCAAAAACCTGGAATCTGTTGAAAAATTTTTGTTTTCAGCAGCTCGAAGTTGTTGTATTTTCTATATCCACAAGAAGAAAATCGCATGAGAGGGGAAATTGTCTTCAGATTGTTGGTGAAACTTAGGTAAAGGTCCCGACTTAGAGTTCTTGTAGGTTGCATGCAAAAGAGGACATTTGCCAATTTTGTAACTAAAATATTGAATTGAGTTGTCCTTGACTTTTTGCCTCCACCTTAGAAACGTGGGAATATATTCTCCTCTGGAGAAGGTAAGGCTTGGGCATTCGCACAAATCTGACTCCTTGCACTTGGCTTAAGATATTAAAATTATGTTTGGTATAGATAATATAAAATTATAATTATTTTATATTAATTTATTTTATATTTTAAAAAATAAAATTATTAACAAATTAATTATTTTTTGATATAAAATAATTTAATAATTTGAAAAGAAATATTTTTAATTCATAAGATTGAATTTACATATCTTATTATATATTTAAAAATTATATCAATAATTTAAATTATATAAATTTTAAAAAATGACATTTTAATCAATAAATAAATTTTTTATTTTAATTTTTACATACATCAAACAAAAAATAAAATGATATTATTTAATCTAATTTTATTCATAATAACATATTATTCTATCTTATCATAATTTTATGTACTAAATACATTTTAAGAGTATCATTTTATTATATATTTGGTGCATATATAAAAAAAATTGATTGTAAAAAGATTAATCATATTTTTATTATACAATGATTTGATTTTTCTATTATTTTTAATCTTATGGGATTAGATAACAGTGACATATAAATTACTTATTTTATTATTAAAATTTACATTTAAAATTATTAAATATTTAACAAGCTGATAAATGTAATTATTTAATTGGTTAATTAATTTTTTTTCATTTTTTCCCTTCATTTCCTTTTGAATTTTTCTCTATTTAAAATTTTCTCTCTTTCTAAAAGTTTTTCCTTTTTTTTTGTTTTTTCCATCATTTTCTTTCTTTTCCCCTTTTTCTCTATTTTTTTCTTATTTTAATAAATGAAATATATAGTTTTGATAAAATTACTTTTTTAGTTTTTTGAAAAGTTATTTTTTTTGGAAATAATCATTTTTTA